TTTTAATCTAGTTGATTAATCAATATGAAGATGTATACTTTGCCAGAGTAAAATATTGTTTATGTTCATACTGTACCTTAAGTTAGAATTCTGAAGAATGCTAGCATAGCAAAGGACGCACCATTGCATTTGTATGTCCCCATGTTGTGCAGCATCTAACCAACTTGGAAAACCAAGCCAAGCAACTCGGAGACATGGTTTACCATGGTTAGCATTCCTACCTCATTCGACTTCTGGTATTTTCCATCTCTCTTTCTGCTCCACTAAGCAGAGGAATCACTTTGCCACTCACCAGATTGTAGCCGGTGTCCTTTCCCTCTGCCCTCCCCTGCTGCAAAAAGTAAATGTGGCAAGATGAAGAGCAAGTACAGGGGTGAGCATCAGCTGCCTCTATTTTTGCTTGTCCTAGTGGCTGATTGGAGGGGCACTGGTTGGCACAGGGAAAATTGGGGACGATTTCTGATACTACAAAATATAAACAGGGAGCAAACCTCACACTCATTAGCACTGATGTTACCTAGTTGAGCAATGAAATGCCTGCAAGCAAATAACCAAGCTCAGAGAGCACCAAGGGCTCCACAGTTCAACCCTGAGCTACATATATTCTCTTCTATTGGAATTTGGGACAGTGCCAAGCATTTGGGACAGTTTTAACAGAGACCCTGACAGTAGAAAAAGGGTGAGAATTGGCTGTGCTGGGTCACACTAAACATACCTGTACTTCTAGCAGTCACTATGCAAAAACAAGAAAACATTAAATATTATGGTGGAAAACTACCTTTCTTCTTTAAAATAGTAGTATGCCATCTTAATTTGTAAAGCATTTTTTTCTTCAAGAAAAAATAGGCTTTTTTCACCTGGGGAAAAATCACTCTTCAAAGAGTAACGTAAGATAACGTAGGAGTGTTTTAATATGATTAGGTCATGTGGAGAGATTGACATCTGTATGCTGTAGCAGCATTAACAGCACAAGACAGCACTGAGACGTGGCTGTGAGTAGCAAAAGATATTTGGACAGTGTCTGGTCACCCTGAATAGAGATAGTGAACGGAACCAATGAGCAGCAGATGTCTTCTAAGGAAACAGAAAAATGAGTCTGATCACCCGGGACAGTTAACTTTAATTGCAGAGGCATCCTGAGATTTTAAGTAGAAGTTCTTCCACTTCTACCTAGAGATGGCAGGAACTGAATCTGAGATCTTCTTGATACAAAGCATGAGTTCTATCATTGATCTATGGACCTTCTCATTCAAGCCCAGCTTTTAAGATCAAAGCTTTCAACGTACCACTTTCATCCTTTCTTTCAGAGTCCACAGAACACTATACTGAGCTTTATGAACTATTGGATATCTTGTAAAATGGGTCATTATTTCCCTGTCTATAAAACATGGCACAACAAAGTGTTAAAAAAAGACTGAAGCCGCTATTGGAATACATCCATTATAATATGTCCCACTGAAAAAGAAAAGCCCATGCAGCATTTTCATTCCAATAAACTCATATCTACGGTGTAACATTGTCAGGGAATAAGAATGCTTGGTTATGGAGTTCCCTGTTACAACCTCACCAAAGTGGATAGTCAGGATCCCGACTGAGTGAAAAAACAGGAAATGAACCATCTGTCTATTCATTGCTGTATGAACTTACTGAGGAAAAAAAAAAGAAATTTGTTTCTAGTTTTCATCCATACAAAACTGTACTTAAGGAACAAAAATTCTGCTCTTAAGAGTTAAAGATCCACTTTGCTATTTATCAAAAGTCAGATCAATCACATCTATAAAATCTGAAAGCACTTTGTGTGATATGATTGGATTGTATCATGACTTTGTGAGATTTTCTAGTTTATTGCAGGTGTTGCATTGCCAACCTTTGGTGTAGTGCTGCAGATACTAAAAAAAGAAATAATTGTATATGGTAAAATGTCCACCAATAGAAGCTGGACTGCTAATCTATGATATCCATACCTTTATCAACTGTCCAAGGGTACAGCTCAAAAACTTCATTTTGGCTTTTACACTTAAAGAACACAGACCTAGACAAGCAAAAGCTTGGACTTTTCCCCTTATAGTTTGCTACCTGACTTAATTATTAATATCTTACCATTATTTGATTTTTAGGTTTACATGTTAAACACAAAGGACATGTATCAGGAACTGGGAATTTATTTCACATTCCCAGGCTGCAACCTCTTATTCATCCTCAAATTTTACTCCATGGTAAAGAAAAGAGAGTAATAATGAATGTTACTAACATTCAAACCTGGAATGTATTATATACTGCATGTGTAAGTTAGTCATTGGGCATATCATTCATTTATTTTAGAACTATGCACCAAAAGAGACTGTGTAGATTCACATATCATGCTAAGTCATAATGTGATATGTTTTGCTTTAGCTTAGAACAATGTGTGTTACTTAGTCTTTGGTCTTACTAAACCATTCTTTGTGCAATGTTTACACCCAGCCATTCTCCAATCTTTCGGGATCTTTTAAGTATCATACCTGTTGTTAAATGTCAACAGTGGAATAGAAACAGTAATTGATTAACTGTTGGGGAATTCTATCCAGTGAAATGGGTTTGCACAATATGCCAGGGCAAGATGTAGTTGGCTAGTTTATGGCTCAAACATAGTTTTATAAACCCAGCCACAGTGACTAGTTTATTTGTTGTGCAAGTCCACCCAATTGGGTTAATTCCCTAAGCCATGGTTCAATTAAACATAAGTTAGTATGTGATATAACCACAGCCTGGTCATGTGTCTGATTGATCATTTTTTGCACCACTGGTTACTCAGTCTCTTTCTTTGGGTGATGAAGCAGAAAGGATTTGATATAACAAGGTTAAGCTAAAGGTAATGGTTGTAGCATTTAGTGAATTTTGATTAATCTTGGAAAAGTAAGCATTTTCAGACCCCTTGATTAATAGTTGGATGGGAGATACCTAAGGATTTCCCAGGCTAAATGGGAAGTAAAAAAAAAAACATTCTGGAAGAAAGCATGGCAACCTAATTGTGTATTACTGCTAAGGAAACGAAAAGAACAGGTCCACGTAGTTACCAAGAGTCAAGTTCGACTCAAGAGTTTACCTTTTTGGCAGTAATAAAGCTGTAACGTGGATCTGAAAATAGGAAGCCCAAATGGGAAGCCTGGCGCATCCACTCTGTAGGGTGGAGAAGAAAAGCGAGCTGCTTTGGGCCATCACAGTTTTAGTGAGAGAAGGCAGGTAAATGAGTGAGAAAGCATGAGGCACCTGGTTGCTCCTTCAAAGCCCCATTCTGTAATGGTCTGTGAGAATGTCCTTGAGAGACAGGAGGAAGAGGAGGAGCTGCAGAAATCAGGCCATTTCTAAAACTCCAAGGGGGATCTTCTGTTAGGAAGAGAGGAGGAGACTTGACGTCAGCCTTGCAAGGTAGTCCAGACAAATGCACCCAGAAGCTCTACCTTGATTGTAAGGTTAACAGAATCTTGCAAGCGCATTTCTCTCCCCTCACCTTTACAGTCCAAGAAACTAGGGAGAGTCCCTTCTGAGATGTTTGCCACACCTTCATTCCTTCTGCAGGTGTTGCTTTTGAATGCCAGGTTGGTGTGTAATAAAGCTGCCCTCATCCACAATCTTACCTTGGAGGAGGGTGCTGACCTGACACATCTTACCGAGACCTAGTTGGGCCTGGGGGGTGGGATTCCCCTCTTGGAAAGGTGTCCACTCAGGTTTCAGGTTTTGCACCAGCCAAGAGCCCAGGAGAGGGAGGGGACGAGTGGCTGTTTTCATCTGGAAGTTATTACAGGCTTTCAGGGGCTCCGCTCTGCAGATAACCAGATGTGAGGTGCTCTGGCTGAAGTTGGGCTCAAGGGATTGCTGCTGGTATACTACCCTCCCTGCTGCTCAGTGGCTTCCCTGCCTGAACTGCTGGATTCCCTTGCTGGATTGGCAAACAGAGTCTCCAAGGCTGCTGGTTCTTGGGGATTTCAGTTTGCCACCCAGTGATGTTGAGTCTGAGGCGGCTCAAGAGTTTGTGGCCTCCAAGACAACCATGAACTTGTCCCAAGTCACTGATGGCTTGACACATACTGGAGGCCGCACATTAGATCTGGTTTTTTGTCTCAGGGCGGTTGAGATGTGATCTGGTAGTGGAGGACATTAACATCAGCCTGTTGCCATGGAAAGATCACCCATGGTTGCCTTTCAGCTCACTGGTGTCACTCTTCCCTGCAGGGAAACAGGCCCATCCCAGGTGATTGATGGACCCAGTGGGGATCCAGAGAGAGGCTGGGGTTTTCCCTGAGGATCTGGTGGGTGGTTCGGCTGAGGCCCTAGTCATCTTGGGGCATCCTGGGAATGTCAGAATAAGGGATGAAATACTATTTTAATGGCAGTGCAGCTAAGGGCCACTTAAGTGTGTCTCAGTCATGGGCTGAGGGTGAGACGAAGACAGTGTCATGGGCTTATGCTAGAAGATTTCCAGGTCATGTCTGTACGCTAGTTAGATACAAGTGGAGAAAAGCCCTGAGACTGTCTTAAGTTGTCCTTAGCTGTACCAATACTAAAGTAGTATTCCCCTTATTCCTACACCAGTGTTTCTCAACCTTGGCGACTCTAAGATGTGTGGACTTCAGCTCCCAGAATTCCCCAGCCAGCATAGCATAGCTATGGGAATTCTGGGACCTGAAGTCCACACATCTTAGAGTCGCCAAGGTTGAGAAACACTGTCCCACACCATCCAGCAGCCTCAAGGTGTGTAGAATCTCTTAAGCTTTGCCACTACCCATTAGCCTGGAGGCACTAGGTAGGCCAGTAATAAAGGGAGGAGGGGTCGTGCCAAGATCCTTTTCATGCTTGATTGACAGATCAAGCCATGTCGTGCCAGGATCCTTTTCTGCAAACTCAAAGATGGGTGCCTCACAAGCCTTTTTAACTCGGTCGTGGGGAAAGGTCCTCTGCGACTTTAAATTTAAGTGGGAGGAGATGGCTGCTTGGTGTAAACCCAGCCCCGTAGCTACTACGAAAGGTGAAGGAAGAGTCAGTTCGCAGCCAACCCAGCTCCCGTCCAGCACGCCCGCCCGCCCGCCATGGTGAAGATCGTGACCGTGAAAACCAAACCCTACCTCGACCAGAAGCCGGGCACTAGTGGCCTCCGGAAGCGAGTCAAGGTTTTCCAAGGCAATGCCAACTACGCCGAGAATTTCATCCAGAGCATTATCTCCACCATCGAACCGGCTGAGCGGCAGGGAGCCACTCTGGTGGTGGGGGGCGACGGGCGGGTTTTCATGGAGGAGGCGGTCCAGCTGATCCTCCGGATTGCCGCCGCCAATGGGGTAAGTCGGGCGGCCGTCCCCGTCGGTCTGCCCCGGATCCCTTGCCGGATGCCTGCCGGGTTTGCATACCCATTGTGGGAACGGTTGCGTTGCGTGTGCCGGCGGTGACTCTTTCCGGTTGCCTCCCCACCTCCGCCTAATTCCGTATCTTGCAGGGCTGGGAGCGACGGCAAGGAATGGCTTTCGGGAGAAGCCAGCGGCGCCTGGGGCGATATTAAGCGAGGATCCGTTCTCTGCGGCCGCCCTTCGGTCTCCTCCGTAGGCTTGGCTTGGGTTCTGCCTGCGCAGGGCGCCTCGTTATGCTGAGGGGAGCCTGTGAGCTTTGGGGCCGGCTGGGATGGAAGCGCAAGCGAAATGCACACGTTTGGGACTAGTTTTCAGATCCTTTTCTAACGCATTTCGTTTCCGCACCGCAGGCCTTCTTAACCATGCACCAAGGCCCAGCCCTGCTTCTTGTATCTGTCAGTCAAGCAATAAAAATTACATTGGGGGAAGTGCATTTAGTTTACAGCGGGCCTTCTTCTTTAGTGCTAATTTTGCAAATGTATGTTCCAGGCTGGGTGTTCCGGCATCGCGGCTGCAAATACCGTTTCTGAGGGAGGTGACCTCTATCAGGGAATGGAGGCAATGCTGAAACATTAGGGCGAGCTGGGATTGTGGTACTGCCGAGATAATTATTTTTACACACTGGTTCCTTACCAGTTTTGAGGGGGTGTCTGTGATGGCACTCTGCTGACTAGCTGTAAAAGGCTCGGCAATCTTTGACATTTAAGTTAACCTTTCAGGCATTACAGATACAGTTTCTGCCCGGGGGGTACCAGCAATTCTTACAGAGTCTGTCTGAAGGTTATCCTTGTTTTAAAATAAAATAGGATTTTCCTAACTTAGGGAAATAGGCTTCATCTTGGGTTCCTTCCTGATTGCAGGAACTTTTTGGACAGACTTAGACTTCAAACCTTTGCGTGCACGTGCACAATTGTGATACTTTTGCAAGCACTGGATTGTGCAAAAGCCTGTTGTTACATCGTCTGTGATGGTTAAAAGAGCAAATCTAATGTTTTAAATAAGTCTATGGATTATATTCCTCCGAGTAAACATTTGTTTGAAGACTTGGCCTATAGACTGTAAAACATACTTGCTTTTTCAGCAGCAGTTGATGGCTTCTTTCCAGTCTGGAACTGCAGTAAAAATTAGCGAAGGTTCAAAAAAACTATCCTATTGGGAGTTTCATACAAGAGCTATTGAGCAAGATCAGGGTGCAATTGCTGCTTCCTTAAACTGAACAGACTTTCTTTCCCAACCTAGTGCTCACCAGATGTCTTTGTTTGCAAGTCCTAGCCAGCCAGAAGCCCCTTGGGGGATTTATTATAGGTGAATTCTAACATGTTTGAAAGGCGCCAACTTGAAAACAACTGAAAGATGGATTTGCATTTGCTGTGGAAGGGGATGAAATTGATGGTGTTCTGATGTATGAGTACGTCAGTCTTCTTGCAGCCCTTTTTGCAATCATCTGTTAAGAGATTCTCAGCTCTTGGATGAACTTTTTTTTGTCAGATCCAGAAGGGAAACTATTAGGATCCTAACCAGTGGTAGACAACTTTTTACATCTAGTGGGCACATCTGGAAACCTTATATACAGTGTTATGGTTTCTTTCATAAAATGGCTATTACCAAAACATAAACTGGCCATGGTAATCTGTACTGCTTCCACTTTCAGAAGTTCCTACATACCCAACATTTTCTTTTTTCTGGGAAGCAGGCATACTTCCAGGCCATGGCTATGCTTATAACTAGAATAGATTATATAATTCTTATCACCATTTATCTAGGTTTCAAAATACTTCACATGAATTATTGTAACCCTCACAATAACTCTGTAAGAATAAGCTGATATTATTCCCCCACAGCTGAAAGAGAAGACTAATAGATGCTTTTGTAGAACATGTTAAACTGCTCTGCCTGGTTAACATGATCATGCCCACCCCATCCCATGAAGCTCCTTAACCACTGTAGATAGGATTTCTATGGCTAAGCATGATGCGCAGTTGCAGAGTAGCTGCCATGTTATCCAGCATTTATCTGAATTGAAATCAACAGTCCTGATTTTAAGTTTCTGTTATACAGTAGTTAACTGGAAATGGTGGCTAGTCTGCATTTGTACAACACATTCAATCAACAGGGGTTAAAGAGCCACACAAGTGAAAGTAAAAAGGTAGCAATGTGTTCATATGCAACAGATGTACCAATTTAACAGATCATGAGAATAGACATAAAGAACAGGCACCTACAATTTTTAATTCCTTTCACTTAGCCATTGCTTATAACCTGTTGCATCACTTTCTTTTTTCTTTAACTTCCACATTTTACAATTTTTAATTCCTTTCACTTAGCCATTGCTTATAACCTGTTGCATCACTTTCTTTTTTCTTTAACTTCCACATTTTACAATTTTTAATTCCTTTCACTTAGCCATTGCTTATAACCTGTTGCATCACTTTCTTTTTTCTTTAACTTCCACATTTTCTTGGCATCATAGCCCAGAAGCAACATCACTTGTTACCACCTTATAGTTCATTTGCATCAGATACATCAGACTGTGAGCTAGTAGTTGGCCCAAAGATACCCTATGAACTTCACGACTGAGTGCGATTTGAATAATGTTTGCAGTCCTAGTCCATCACCTAATCACTATACCACACTGCTTTTCTTAGGTTATCTTACATATAAAAGATTGAAAACTTAGCAATGCACAGATCATATTGATGTGTTTGGATCCCCTTGATTGTACTTACTTGTTTACACACACACACTATTTTCCAGATAAACAGCCAGAAAGTGGCTTGAGAAATACTCATATGCAAAGAAATAAGTATGGACTATGGATGGATTCACCTAAAATTCCCAAAACTTGAAACTAGCTCATAGCTTAGTACAATGTGTAGAGCTTGGTTTGGACAGACTGACTGGGACCTTACAGATGAGAAATGTCTTTTTGGCCTTGGAAATTGATGCTTTCTGGAAAAACCATTGAGCAGTTTGACATTACCAGTAGTTGATTCTATATTATTCATTAGCAGAATTTGCTTACAATACACAGAACTAAAAAAAAGCCATAAAGTAATGCAACATCAAAAGAAAATCAGTTGCTTTCCTAACTAAAATCTTCCAGTGAACTGTCCTAGGGAAGAGGATTGTCTTCACCAGTTTCCTGAAGGACAAAAGGGTGGAGGGCAGCCTGGCATCACGGAACATTCTATTCCCAAGTGAGGTTGCTGCCACTAAGGATGTCATTCTCTGGGTCCCAATTGCCCAGTCTCTTATGGGGTGAGCTCATGCAGTATCCTGTCCCTGCTAGAGTAGGTAGGGTGAGCAGATTCTACCTGCATAAGGTAGAGGGTAAGAAGAGCCCAAGCCATACGTAATCACCAGTGCCTTGAATTGGGCCTGGAAGCTGACTGGCAATCAATGCAACCCCTGCAAAATTTATGTTATTCTACTGAACCAACTGGCACCATTCATCAAGTGGGCAGCCAGGCAGCCACATTCTGTGTGAGCCGTAGCTTTTGAATTTTCTTCAAGGGCAGGCCCACATAAAGGAAATCATAGTAGTCTGAGAGATGTCAAGGTGATGAGTCACTGTCTTCAGCGATTCATGGTCTAGGAAGGGGTGCAATGACCAACCTGCCAAAACTGGCCAAAGGCTCTCCTGGCTATGACTTCCATCTTCTGTTCTAGTAGGAGTCATGAGTCCAGGAAAATGGCATACCAGCTCTTTCAGGGAAGTCCATCCCTATCTAGAGTAACGATGGTTCTATTGTTTTGTAACAATTTAGCTGTGTCTTACTGGGACTATCTCACCCATTCAGCCCCTCACAGCCTCCGAGCACCAAGTCAGGATCGATCGATCTATCTATCTATCTATCTATCTATCTATCTATCTATCTATCTATCTATCTATCGTGTTTTTATGCCGCCAATCTCACAGAAATGTGACTCTGGGTGGCGTATAACAAAATCATAAACAACTAATTGCAAAAATACTCTGAAATTAAAACATAAATACTATTATTATAAAAAACTAAAAAATTAATTACTTTTTATCCTTTTATAATGATTGTTTTATCTATTTGCTGTTTCATGTGATTGTTGTACGCCGCCCAGAGTCAGTTTGTGTGAGATGACCATATAAATGCAATTAAAAAAATTGTAGGGAGAGCATAGATGTTGCACACAGTGTAGGCACCTCATTAAATCCCCATTTCTATGAGACTCTTAAGCCTGTTGACATACCAAGTTTTACAGGACTTCTGGAAGGACATCAAAGAGGAGGCCAGTCTCACCTCGGGGGCAGGGAATGATGTTTCACAGGGCAGGCACCACGGCAGAAAAGGCCCATCCCCTACATCCCACCAAATGTAGTTCCTTAGCAGACGGGACCCGGAGCGTGCCTCTTCTGTAGACCTGATGGGATGGGGGAAGTAATTGGGAAGAGGCGGTCCCTCAAATAACCCAGCCCCATGCATTTCCTGCTTGGCTTGAAATGTGAAGTTGGATATCATCAGCATATTGAAGATCTCTAACCCCAAACTGATGGATGACTCCTCCATTGATATCATGTATATGGAGGAGAGGGCCAAGCCCTGGGGCACCCCCCCATTGGGTGACCCAAGGCCTCAATTTCTCTTTTCCACTGACAGAGACTGGAACCACCCGCTCAGGAAGGAGGGGAGCTACTGCAGAACAATGCCTCCGATCCCCAACCCTTAATAACCGTTCATGCCTGACTGCCAACAGGTCAGTCTACCGAAAGCAAGAAAAAAAATCTTCCCAGCATGAGCCGTACCCCTTTCATACATATATTGTGTTAGCGCACAATACGATGCTGCTTTAGTCATTTTGATAAAAGCAGCAGGAGAGTTTGCAGGTACCCATGATGCTAGTGAAAGTTCATTTTAAACTCATACAGTTCATTGAGGAGCCAGTATAAAAATGAAATGCAT